TTCTATTATCACAACCGAGCGTGCTATTATCACAACCGAACCTTTTTTTCTGTCTAGTTGAGATTTTTACGGGTCGAAGTATGAGATGGATATTTTATTATGAGGCCCTAAACAATCATAGTAAAGCGCATCTTCAAATTGGGTTGAAAGATGTTGTTTTATTATTAGAAATCTTTGTGATAGCTTAAAAATTTATTTTCATCTCTAATTATAAAGATTTAAAGTTTAAAAAATAATATAGATCAAGTAGATTCATAAACGCTTGAAAATCTAGAAAATTGACTGTCCAAAAAATGCATTACAAGATGTACTATTTTTATGATTGGAAATTTATTTTTTCTCATGTCCATATCAATACTGTTAGATTTGTTTGAGAGTTTACTTCGGTTTGGTGAGAAAAATGAAGCAATTTGGTGTTTTGACAGATTCGAGGGAGGACTTTGGACCTTTTTTTTGTATAATTTATATAAATAAACTATATATATATATATAATATAAAAATAATGAATAATTAAAAACTTTTATATAGTTTTTTTTTTTGTTTAGGCTGAATAGGCCGAAGCTTCGACCGAATCAGCTTGAATTTGACCGAAGCAGCTCAAATCTGACCGAAATGGCAACACCATGCTTCGCTTCTCTTCAGTTCAAACCTATAATCCAAAAGCTTAGACCTCTTCGGCTAAAGTAAAGTGAATATGACAATATTGGTTCATACATCTTGAGCTCTCAAGACGATCGATTTGATGATTTTTGGGCATCAAAACAATCTCTTTAATGATTTTTTTGAGGTACGTCTTAATTTGAGTGTTTAGAGCTTCAGGTATAAATTTTTTTCTTTATTTAATTTGAAGAAAAAATTATATGTAGAAAAAATAAATAGAGGTGCTACGAAATTAATTAAATTAATACAAAATTAATTAAATTAATATAAAATTACTTAAATTAATCTGAACGAGGTTGTCAAATTAAATGACTTAAGGAGGTTGTCAAAGCAAGGAAATGATGCCACGTATCAGGGCCCTACTAAACGCCGTTGAGGTCAAATGAGGCCTTCAGCTTGGGCGACACGCAAACGGAGATGTTACCGGCGGCTCCGGGTTAACGGCGTCTCGCACTTTGGTTGTTCGGCGAAAAGTCCCGTGAAATCTGAGGCGTTGTGTTGCATGTGCCGAAATTTAGCCGAAGCGATTCCTAAAAAAGCGACGTAATAATTCCTCTGTATGGAGGTGAGAAGAATTTTTTTTTATAAAATAAAGAGAAAATTATAAATACCACAAAATTAGGCTTTTTAGACAATGCTACCTAATATATATATATATATATATTTTTTTTTTCACTTGCCCAATAATATTTTTAACCAAAATACCTTTACTTTTATTCACATTTTTTACTTTCTCTAAACGGGTGTGGCATCGATACAACTTCAATATACAAGGCATGCCGGACCGAAACAATTTCAATATACTCGAGTCGAACATATTTTGTGTCTGACCGACAAAATTATAATATTAAAAATTGGTCTAGCACATTTTAGTTTAGATCGACACTTTTTAAAGAAGCTAATTTGCTATAATTTTTGCTAGACAAAGAGGTACATGCTAGTTTGATATATTTTTATATCAAACCTACACAAGTTGCTTCGTATTTTTCTTTTAGAAATGTGAGTTAAGATGGAGGAGTATTTTGGTTCAAAAAATTTTTTTAAAAAAAAAAAAAAGTATTAAGGCCAGATATATCAAAAGGTTTTTTTTTTTTTGAGGCGGGGGAAGTCTTTACCAATTTTCCCTAAAATAAATGGATTTTTAGTTAATTTTGACGGTAAGAAATCAAGGAGAAGGAAAGCTTGAGATCATTATTTTCCTTTTCACCCGCTCGCGAAACTATTCCCAAATATTCGAAATTTGTATGAAATAGAAAATATGTCCGAAAAAAAAGCCATAATAATGAACAAAAATTTGATTTCACATATGTCTAGCTCAAAATTGTCTTATTTGTGATGATCCTTTTTCTTTTCAGGTCCTTTTGAATTTTTAATATGAACTTTTTGCAATTTCGACCGTCCACAATAATTAAAAAATAATAGTATTTTTTTTTTTTTTGGATAATTAAGTGGGAAGATACACCCTTTGTGTTTTTCAGGTAATTAAGGAGTTGATTTTTTTTATTAGAAACCACAACATAATAACTAAGTATGGGGGCGCTGTCCAAGACCCCCCCTTTTTTTATAGTAGGTCTTTTATGTGTGCATGAAAGGGATAATGGGGAGAGGGCAGGGAAGCCCTATAGAGAGAGAGATCTTAGGTAGGGCAGACAATGAAGATGACATGAGCAAAAAGGTTGGCAATGGATCGGTAAAAAAAGTAGGACCTGAGTCATATACTGTAACTCGAGGGCCAGTGTTGGCCAGTTCTACCTATCCAACACTCTTTTCTTTTTCTTTTTTTTTTTCTATTTTTCTCTTATTTTCTCTTTATTTCTTTTTGGTTTAGCATGGCTCGCTTCCATGGGAACTAGGGATAAGCTAGGACCCGGGTCTTGCCCATAGCTACCCTTAATGTGCTACCCTCAATATGAGAGGGTTGGAAGAGAGAGAGAGTGTGCGTTATAGGGTCAGAGACAGATATGTTACGGGAGACAAAAAAGAGTGTTAGGTTAGAGGCTGGAAGAGAGTGTTAAAAGGAGGTTAGAGAGAGAGCACTGCATAGAGTGTGAAGAGGCTGTACATCAAACATTGAGATAGGGGTGGCAATGGACCTGGATCCTGGGACCCGTCGAATATACTCGACTAGGTCCAAGTATGTGTCCAACATTTGGACTCGACGGGTTGGGTTCAGGTCTAGATCCGGTTGGACCCGACCTGTACCGGTAAACTCTTGGAGATAAAATATCTTAAACCCTATTTATTTGGGTATATTAAGGACGGTATATAATAATAATTAATAGTAATTTTTAGCTATCAGATGACAAATCAGACGGCATGAAATCTAATAAATGATTGTGACATTGTTACCAATTATATGAGTATATGATGGTAGAAAAAAAAAAAAAAAAGAAACTCATAGTGAAAATGACAATGGACTTGATCAAACCTAAGAGCAGACAGGTACAGGCATGGGTTAAATTTTTGAACCCAACGGATTGGGCCTAGATCCAAAACTAGATCTAAATATTATTTGGTTCTATATCCAAATCCAGCTAGACCCAACCGATACCTGACCCGACCTATACTTGACCCGTACATTGTGGTATACAAATAGATGGAGAGATGAAGAGAGAGAACGCTCCAAAAGCAAGAGAGAGAGAGAGGATAGTCGGGATCGAATAGCAAAGGAATATCCTACCTTTCCTCATGAAATAATGAGTAAATAGTAAAAGAAATAAAGCCTATAAAAATAAATAAAAAAAAAGATATTTTCTGGATATTTTTTTTTTAAAAAGTTTTCAACGATTCGACTAATATTATTTTATTGTGAAAAAAGACCAAAGAATCGCCGACTGACAAGGCAGCAACCGGTGCGCACTCACAAATAATCTGGACGCGCTATATCCGGTAACATTTGATCGGACGGCTGAAGATACCCCACGTGAACATGGGAAGGAAGTCTCTCTCGAAAGAGGGGATCTATGCCCGCCCTTTTATTACAGGACATCACTCGCCAAAAGGAGCTCATCTCTCCACACTTTTAGAGAAAGAAAGAAGAGAGAGAAAGCGTTGTGCTCCTCATCCTTCATCCTCTCTTCGCTTCTTATTCACCCAGGTACGCTTTCTCTCTCATCGTCCATATTCCTCTATCTCTATCTGTCACTTTATCTCTCTCTATGTCTCTCCAGTGATATCTCAAACTGTTCTCTCTCTTTTTCTCCTTTAGCGCCTAGCATCACAGAGTTGGGTTTGTACCCTGTTTCTGTAAGTTTTGAAATCCCCCACTTTTTGTTATGTCTTTTGAGTTTTGCTCTGAAAATTTAGTGAGAGAAAGAGGATAAAATGAGTGAAAATTGACTAATTTCAGTTGAGTTTTTTTTTTCTTCAGTCCCTGTTTTGTATCCCGGAGATTTTACTAAGTCCCATGAGTTTTAGTTGAAGTTTCTGTGGAAATATGGTGGTTGAATGTGTGAAAATGAAGTAGCTTAAGTTGGGTTTTTCGATTATCTCGTTTTGTGTCCGACCTATTCTGAGTAAAAAAAAGGGGCCTTTTTTCTCATTTTCTGTAAGATTGAAGTGCTTTAATGTGATGTGACGGTATGGGTTTCAAAGATCATCTTATGTGGTTTTTTCCTTTTTAGCAATGCGAGTTTTGTAAAAAATTCCAGCCAAAAAAAGGTTTAAAGGAGTGATTATTAATTGGGTTTAGTAGGATTTTTATGTTATTGGAAAAGAACTGCACTTTCTCTTTTTTTGAGGGGTTAAGAAATCATATCCAAAGGAATAGAAAAGAATCAGCTTGAGTTGTTGGGGGTTTTCTTTAATGACACCGAAGTCTTTCTGAATTGATAAAAATTTCTGTCTTTTTTCTTAGGGATTCTTGATATAAGCTCCAGGTACCGATGATTATGGATCCTGATCTCATAAACTTTTCAAACATATTGAGTGGGTTCAAAGTAGATGGGTCTCTTGCAAATGAAAATGTCATGGATCTCCCTCTCCTTTCACCTGAACCCCATGTCACTTCTCAGTCCATCTCTAGCGTTGATGGAGAATCACCAGAGGACTCTGAGTTTTTCTCTGATATAGTCTTGAATTACATAAGTGACATGCTCATGGAAGAAAACATCGAAGAAAAGCCTTGTATGTATCAGGAGGGCTTGTCTTTTCAAGCCACTGTAAAACCCTTCTATGATATACTAGGAGAGAAATACCCACCTTCTCCTGATCAACCCCCTCTATACCCTGATTTAGAAAGCCCTGAATATGCCAGTGCAAACACTGAAGAGAACAGTAATAGTGATACTAGAATCAGGAGTGTTACCAGTGAAGATGCCACAAATTCTATTTGGGATTCCCCAGATTATTTCCATTCTGATAATAGCCTCAAAACTCATTTGCCACTTAGGTTGCCTGTTGATTGTAATTCTCAAGTGTCTTTCACTTCATCAAGTAGTGGGAGTAGCGGTACTAGAGATGGATTGGATGAATCTCCGATTTATAACATCACTGTCCCTGAAGTACCAAATGAAACCCACCGCTTTTGGCAAGTTAATAGAGGAGTTGAGGATGTGAAGAAGCTCCTTCCTAAGGGGGGAAGCCTGGTTTTTGGCCCGGAGAGTAATGGATTTGGTTTCTATGCCTCTAATGTCAATATAAAGGTTGAGAATGAAGAGAACGATTATCGAAAGAAGGAAGAGAGAGATGACAACAAGAGGAGGCAAAAGAACCCTCACAATAGGGATGATTTAGGATTGGAAGAGGGGAGGAGTAACAAGCAATCTGCCATTTATTTGGAGAGGGATGTAAGGTCTGAGACCTTCGATAATGTCTTGCTTTGTGGAGGAGGCAAAGGCCGGCCGTTTTCACTCTTCCAAGAAGAAGCCTTACATGATGGGGTGGCAAAGCTGACTCTGAACGGGACCCCAAAAGGATCCAATAGCTCAAAATCTCGGAGCAAGAAACAAAGTAACAAGAAAGAGGTGGTGGATCTCCGATCCCTTCTAATTCACTGTGCTGAAGCTGTGGCTACTGACGATCGAAGAAGTATTAATGAACTCTTAAAGCAAATTAGGCAACACTCCACTCCCTATGGTGATGGATGCCAACGCTTAGCTCAATGCTTTGCTGATGGATTAGAGGCACGCCTATATGGGACCGGTAGCCAAATATTCCATGCGACTTCTATCTTCAACAAGAGGACCACAGCTGCCGATGTATTGAAAGCTTATCATCTCTATGTAGCTGCCTGCCCGTTTAAGAAAATCTCGCATTATTTTGCGAACCAAACTATCATGGATGTGGCTGAAAATGCTTCGAGCCTTCACATAGTAGACTTTGGGATCTTTTATGGGTTTCAATGGCCATGCCTAATCCAACGGCTCTCTACAAGGCCTGGTGGGCCTCCGAGGCTCCGGATCACTGGGATCGATTTCCCACTACCTGGGTTTCGGCCCCAAGAGAGGGTGGATGAGACAGGCAAGAGATTAGCAGATTATGCAAAGTCTTTCAATGTTCCATTTCAGTATAATTCCATAGCTTGCAAGTGGGAGAACATAAGGATCGAGGACCTTAAGCTTGATAAAGACGATGTGCTTGTCGTGAATTGTCTTTTCAGGCTTAGGAATTTGGTAGATGAGACAGTGGTGGTGGATAGCCCAAGGAATATAATGCTTAACACTATCAGGAAGATGAACCCAAATGTTTTTATCCATGCCACTATTAATGGGGCATACAGTGCCCCTTTCTTTGTCACTCGCTTTCGAGAGGCGTTCTTCCACTACTCAGCATTGTTTGATATGCTCGAGGCGAATGTGGCCAGGGAGCATCCTCAAAGGATACTTATAGAGAGAGAAATATTTGGAAAAGAGATTTTGAATGTGATTGCTTGTGAAGGGGTGGAGAGGGTCGAGAGGCCTGAGACTTATAAACAATGGCAGGTTAGGACACAGAGGGCTGGTTTCGTTCAATTACGATTGAATCGGGAGATCGTGAAGAGAGCGAGGGACCGGGTCCAGATGCACTATCACAAGGATTATGTAGTTGATGAAGATGGACAATGGATGCTGTTGGGATGGAAGGGGAGGATCATCCATGCTTTAAGCACATGGAGACCTCATGCGAGAGAAATGTATTAAATTATGCATAGGTGATACTTGTTTGCTAGGAGCTCATACTGGGGGTGGTCTTTTCTCTCCCCTAGAAGTGACACCTCTTTAGGGGTTCCAATCCCCTTGATCTAAATGAGAACTGCCTGTGCTTATGCTCTCCCTGTTAATGACCGGCAGCTACAATACATGCTTTTCTGCACTTTTGGGCTGCATGCATGTTGGATTGTGTTCGACGAGGAGTTCGCTAATCCTAGGAACCCCAATTGGTTGGCCCCTTCATGACAAAGCATTTGACATGGTATGCATCGTTTTTGAAATGGAAGCACCTCTTTCTCTCTCTCTCTTTCTCACAGCTACATCTGGATATGAGCTAGTTCTAAGGAAGACATGGTCATGCAATTCATAGGAAACGCTTGAATGTGGTGACAGATGGATGCTCGTGATCATGGCTCCGATTCTTCTGATACTGATTTTACGGCAATTCTCTTAAGAAGTCTCTTTTGTCTTCTAGGAAGTGTAGGCATTATCTTAGACTGTAAATGATCAGGAATTTCAGATTTTAATGGTTGATTGTTAGAGTCCACTTATTGGCTAACCACATGTTGTACTAGCCTATTTATAATTCAAAGTATTTTGTTAGCCGCCGAGCATGAGAATCTCTTTGCTTCTCTTTAGTGTTTTTGCTAAATGGAATAATAGTCTTTCACGCAGGCTCCTTGTGTGTGTGTGTGTGTGTGTGTGAGAGAGAGAGAGAGAGAGAGAGAGAGAGAGGA